ACCCAAACCATACTTCTGCACTCACAACTACAACACTGCTATAAATTCCATGTCCTCCACATGCTATAACCTTCACCTTACCATGAAGCAAGGTATTTCAGAAATTAGGGTAGTGTAAAGCTGTGCATACACAAACTGGTAAACTGACAGCAGTAAACACTAATACTACTAGCTGATTTTCTGTCACCATGTCTAGTTGGGCACTGACTTTCAGAAAACACAGAGAACTTAAGAACTTTTGCCTTTCTATTAAACAGGTATGAAACTGCCTAACTGCTTCACAAACTATCAGGGAGACGAAAGGAGAGAACAGACAGACAACAAAATTAAAAAGCCTTGTTTTCTTGTGAAAGTGGCTGAAGAGTGTCATAGAATATGGAGATACTCCCAGGAAGGGGAAAAAGAACAAATAGAGTGAGAAAAAAGGAGTGGCTGAGGGAGCTGGGAGAAAAGGAGGCTCAGGGGAGAGAGACCACATCACTCTCTACAATTACCTGAAGGGAGGTTGTAGTAAGGGAGCAGTCAGCTCTTCTCCCAGACCGCTAATGACAGGACAAGTGGAAATGGCCTCAACTATACCAGGGGAGGTTCAGGTTGGATATCCAGAACAATTTCTTCCCTGAAAGAGTGGTTAAGCATTGGAATGGCCTTCCTAGGGAAGTGGTGGAGTCCCTGGAAGTGTTCAAGAAACAACTGGCCATGGTGGTTAGTGCTGTGGTTTAGCTGACAAGGTGGTGTTCTTTCCAAGACTGGGCCCAGTGATCTTGGAAGCATTTTCCAACCTTAATGATTCTATGATTCTATAAACCAGCCACTGATAATAAAGAATTTTAATTGTTCCTGTTTTTCCTTTTGAAAGACAACTACAGAAACTCTTGTGTCTGAGACATCATGCTAATATTTCATCTAATATTCACCATCATACCACCTAGTTTCAAAATTTCCTAAATTTAGTGTTCAAGATCTGATTTCCAGTGCTTCAAACCTATGTACCTCATTCTAGCACAAAGAATGTTATTAAAACTGAAAATAAGATCAGACCTGAAACAACTCTCCTTGTAATCTCCCTCCAGGCTGAAGAAGGGTTTTGAACAATGCATGCATATTATGTACCACTTAAAGCTTCTTCGAATATCCTTTTCTCTGTGGTGTGTTTTTATTTCGCATTAGATATAGCCCTATAAGAAATACTTTACTTAAACTCCAGATCAAAGATTCACCTATTTTCTGTTTTCTAGAAGATCAGGTATCTTATCAAGAGAAAAATATTTCTTTAGATTAGTAGATTTTACCCAGCTGCTATTTCATCCCAGTTTTTACTTACTTTCAAGCCCTTAATGATTCTTTCAAAATAATATCATACAGCATTGCATATTAGTGAGTTCAGACTAAAGGGTCTAATTTACCAGATGACTCTCTTAATCCGTTATTTTCATCCATTTCACTAGACGTGAAAATTTTCATCTCTATGCCCAGCATTACATAGCTGATAGTTAATGGTATGCGAGGCTTGACACAGAAAAAAACTATTAAAGTTGATCTTGCAGTTACCCCCGGAGAACAACAACAAATTAATTTATCCCCTTATTAAGGAGGTTATTGAGGACAAAGCTATCTACATTTAACTACTGTCTGTCTCTTTTCTGCATGGATTTTTCCTATTAGTGCATCATGTTTTAATGTACTATTAGCCTAAAATCAATATTTGGGGATTATATTAACAGTTTAGCTTTCCTAACTGTGTTCCTGTGAGAAAAAGTAGTGAAAGAAATATGAAGATTAAATTATTAAGATATAATTCATCTTCCTGATTCTAATGCATGATTCTTTTATGCTGCTTATCCCAACTAATGAAAGTCAGCTTTAATTAGTTTTTGAGATTTGACACAAAAGCCTTCACAAAGGACTGTATAAAAACATTTTCTGAAAGCAAAACCTTGCTAGGTATTATTTGAAAATGCAAGAAATGAGAAAGATGTGACTAAAGTGGTAGACACATAGGAAGGAAATATATTAGAATTCAACTAAATTTTATTTTTACACAACACACTTTTAACAGTACATTTTAGATATGCTTCTCTGTACAAAAACCACAAAATCTGGCTAAAGAACAAAGAGTGGTTGAGGCAAAGTTTGGATATATGACACTAATATCTGACCTTTTCTTTTTGTCCCCTGTCCAGAAAAGATTATGTTTCATTCACAGTAATAAAGGTGGTCAGTATTCCATTTCTTAAATTCAGTAGTGAATTGGTTTACATTTCTAAGGCTGTGAATAGGTTTTCAGCACATTATATTTTGAAGAAAAAGAAAAAAAAATCTGATGTCTGAGGTTTATTACCTGACCACAAATATGTATTCCAACGTGAAAATTATGGGATGATTTATATTTTAATTAAAAATCTAATGTATATTCTATTAACTTCAGCCCTGTATATAATTATTTTCATAGCCAAATATACTTGCTATCAAATTGCATTCAACTTTGCCCACTGGTAAAAATGAACTTCAATGTTAATTCAGCAAACTTTCTACTCTCCCATGTTACTGTTATTTTTAAATGTCCAGAGGCACAGGGATGCAGGCACTCAGAAAAATACTCTATGTCATTTTAGGACTGCCAATACTGGAAACTTTGGGAAGTTTATACTAAAACATGAAAAAGTGCTAGGACCCAGACCAGACCACTGGAACTCAATAATCCAGACAGCTAAATATCTGAGTCAATTACGAGTCAGTCACAACTCTTACAAAGAATTTGCACTATTTGGAGGGTAGCATGAGTCAAAGAACATTCCCTCTTGGCATTTAGGATGCAACTATTCTGTTTCAGAAGATAAGATGATTTTACAACATCAGTGTAATTGTATCAGTTGAACATGAGCCCAGAAAATGGGTTCTAGTATTTTTTATTTCTGTGACAGAGGTACCTTCTGAGGTCACACTGGTTGGTGGCCTATCTGTTTGGGTGTATTGGGCAAACAATCATAAATTATAAATGATTGCTTTTTTATATTAGCAAAAAATTGAATTTATTATTTTATTATTTTGGAAAATTAATGCAGGACTTGAACTACAATAAAAAGAACAATGGGTTTGGGTTTAACCATTTGAAATAAGACTAAAAGGCAGATGGCAACTGGAATTTTAAAAATAATATATGATCTGAGTGTCTAACTGTATTTTGCTACCAGAAAACAGCACAAACCTGTAATTATTTATAGTTCTTTCAAGATAAAAGGTTAAAAAGGTTCTGCAGATTATACCTGCTACAAAGATTTGTGCCAATAGCCAAGAAACCACTGTTCTAATGTTAATTGTCATAATTTTAAAATTACTAAATTGATTTGAAAGATTTCAAAAAGAATATCACTGAATCCCAACTAATGTATAGGAGCACATAAGTACAAAAACTTGCAGAACACAATAGGGACTGAATATATTAAGAATAAAATCACATTAGCTAACATTGCTTGGCCAAACAGCAAGTCTTTCTGTTTCATCAATTTTTTTAACAAAAAGTTTGGGTTACATTAATTATTAATGAGATAGCAGAAAGTTGAATAGAAAATGCTTACTAATTTAAGTCTACTTTGGAAAAATAAGCTGAAGGAATGGTAGAGTTGAAAACATTAAGCAACAATAGGAATCGTGGCAATGAATAAAGACAAAAGACTGGAAAGGTGAATGCCGCATGTGTAAATTTCAGAACCAACATGAGGTGATTTTATCCCTCCTTAAATTAAACCTGATGACACAGGGTTATGTTTTATCATACATTTTTGGTCTGTTAATGTTATTTAATGATTAGAAAGAGGTAGATAAAGCAGTGTCTCCATGTTCTTTTGAGTGGAAAAAGCTCCAGTCTCTTACCCAAATTTTTGGTACCCTGAAAAAAGAAAAGCTTGTTATGTTTCCACTTTGATTTCTGCTGAACTCCTTTCGATTAGAGACCATATCACCTTGGTGGTTATCACTAATAAATACCTTTACAATTACTTTCCACAAAGGACTGACAGGAGTCTTGCAAGGGAACAGAATTTTTAAAGATAAAAATCTAGTGAGTAGAATCCTCTGGAAGACCCCAAAGCTATACATTACTTTAAAATTTTTAGTGTAAATAATCAAACACAATAATTTACTTTCATATAATCCATGTACAATAGTCAAACTTGTCCACAGGGGCAGCTTCCCGCCAATGATTTTTGCAACATCCTAAATGCCTTTGCAAATGTAGGTAAGAGCATTTAACCGTGCTTTTCTATAGCAATTAATTAATTAAGGAAGGATCTTTGATTTTCTGTGATTGTCACATATTCTCATACATATAAATCACAGATTAGTATTTACCAGTGCACATATGCACTTCAAAAAAAAGCTTTCACTATAAACTTTTCTAAGTTTTCTCTTTCTCAGTCTACAAATGTTTTTACAGTAAGTCTTTAACTTGATCTTTTACAATTTACTTATTTCTCCACTTTAGTGACTATGTCCAGAAAACTTTGGATTTTTTTACATTTACAAATGTAGCCTCCATTGTTTATGGATTTTTGAAAAGTGTATTTGTAGTATTCAAAAAAACCCAACCACCCAGAAACACCACTTGATGGAAAATTGGGGAGAGTTTACTTTAACTCGGCTTATATATTCTGTAACAGCTCATAAAAAAATCAAACTCTGGGTCTCATGCTGTTGAACAGTACTGTGCACGTTTGACCTTAAAAATGCCTGAATATTCCAGTCTTTAGGTAAAATATACTTCTCTAGGATTCTGCTATGGGAGATAGGTCATATATAAAAAGTAATGTATTTTACATTTTGTGTGATAGGATTTTGTGTGGTTTTTTTTACTAGTTAGAACAAACTAGAGTCTACCAGTGTTTTGGATATGTATGAGTCATTAAATAGCAGTTTATATTAATATACAGATATTCTGCTTTTAATCCAAACTTAATTATCTTTGGAATATTTGATTTTAAAACAACTTTTTGAACACCTACTTGAGGTCTTGGGAAGGTTCTGCTCTGATATGGGGTGTCTCCACAGAGTGCCCAAACACTGCCCCTTCTGTGCCTAAAATACATAAATAAAACACAGTACAATTACTTTGGAAAATAAAAACACATTGAAATATATGACTACAAATTGACAATTTTAGGACAAATATCTGAACAAATCCTTTATTATGATTATAAATGTTTCTTCATATTTATGTTTTCATTTCTATATCAGAATCTGGACCAACTTCATGTGCAACTTTAGACTTCTGCTTGTCAGAATATGAATTTCACATACAAAACTGAAAACACTTATAGATACAAATTTTTCAGCAACAATTTGCCTGAATGTTTATCTCAAAACTTTGTAGAATGGTTGTTTTGCAGAAAATGAAAATAATATCACAGGTTTCTGTGACAAAAACACATTAGAGAAATATCTACTCTATCTTGGATTATGGTTATTTTTATTACTTTAATTGAGATGCCAAGCCTTCAAAAGTTTTGAAATAAGTCTACTCCCTGAAGTTGCTGGCTGAATCTCAATATCTGACAGTTTCAGAGTTTCTTTCCATCAGATCTTTCTCATTGAAAAGCTTTATTCTCAAAGAAATTAAAGAGACTTCTCTGGAATGTGTTTTGGATTTAGTCTTGGTAGTGAGCACTAAAGTATCTCCTACTGGGCACTCAAAATCAAGGCAATAAAAATTGGTAACGATTTCTTAAAACTGAATTGATTATCTACTGAATTTTGATTTCTATTTTTGAAGGTGACAGTGGGATATGAAGATGTAAATAACTGAGCAGAATGCAGAGTTGCCAGTCTTTACTTATGAGAAGACCATGTCTGTAACGTTTGAAAGAGCATTATCAAAGCAAAGATGCACAAAATATCACTGTAGTATGAGTCAGACATTAAATCAACCAGAAGTATCAAAGATAATATTCGGAAAAAACTGATAACAGAAGTTAAATGACAGTTTGTTCTAAACGAGCTTTAGCATTTCCTCACTGTCAGCAGCACTTGTTTAAAAGACGAGAAGGCAATTCTCTCTGAAGAAAATATAAATTTGGAAAGAAAGACCAAGTTTGTCCAAGCAGACTGGAAATCCAGGTATGTAAAATTACAGATAAACTGATATAATGAAATAAAATGTAGTTAAAGCTAAAACCAAACCAAATGTGCTCCTTGTGCTATTTGAAAATGCAATCCTTAATACGTTTTTTTATCTCATACAGCCTCAAAAGTGAAAGTACAACAGTCCTTGTGGCAAATGCTTTATCCTTAAAAAAAATGACTTCAAGAATATCTTCAACTATAATATGCTTTTTTCAATTTACTATATGCAACTATGTAGTACTTTGATGGGAAGTTAGATTATGTAGTTCAGTACTGTTAAGAAATGGTACTATGAACATACCTTTTCATGAATGATAAACAACAATATAAATTCAGATTCAAAGGGAATAGCATGATTTTTTTTTAATGAAAGAAATATACTTCAGGTATTTAATAATCTACAATGTTAAAATACTTATTTTTTACACAAATAAGAGAGGATTCTATTAACTGTATTCCCTGACTTACGGAATTATAACCAAGACCTACTTTGAGATGAGTGAAATTCTAGCAAGAACTGAAATGTACAAAATAAGGAATAAAAAGAAAAGACTTGAACCGTCAAGCTCTTTCAAGTATAGCTCAAAAGGAAGTAGTTAGGGAAGTGAATTCAAAGGAACATGAGTTGGAGTGGATAACTATAAAAAGTGAATCTTTTAGAGGAAATAAAATAGCAAGAGCATGGAGTAGGTGCAAAGGATGTGAAATCAAAACTGTAAGTGGAACTGAATAAAATTACACCTCCAGCTTCCATTGGAAGAGAATGAATCAAGACTTCACGAAGAAAGAAGTATCTGTGCAGGCAAACTACTGATCAAAGAATATCAGTTGTTATAGAGGTTACTAGAGAAAACTCAGTAAACAGCCTGAATCAGGTAAAAAAGCCAAAAGTTCAATTCTGTATTTATAGAGGAACCTCTTTATGCATTGCTGATTCATGAACACCAGACCTTTAAAATTACTCTTTTTTTGACACAGAGCAAATCAAAATGACCATTTTACTACAAGCAAAACCAGTCACATGTTCCTGCTGAAACAGAATATTCAGAATTGAGAGAGACCAGTGCAAACTACTAATTTCTGCTCAGTTTACTGGTTCCTGAAATACAGCCTTTGGGAAATGACAAGATTCATAAAACCAATGGAACAACATTGGCATTTGGTTCTGGATTATATTTGTTTATGTATGTGCATGTTGAGGAAATTTTGTCATTTTTTTAATCAGCAAATAATCCTTTCACAGTTTATGGGTAGTTAGATTACATAACAAAATGGTACCTTTCAGAGACTTAATAACCCATTAGGATGAAAAGACTGCCACCTGAGGTAGGTTTTTTTTTTGTGAAAAGAATGCTGGCTGAAGAGTTGATAAGCTGAGAATGAATTATTTTGCTGTGGAAAATGACCCATATATTACCATTATCTCACTCCTTTACATCATTCTTGAAAGCAAATCAGGTGTACTGAAAATGGAATTGTGTACCATTTTGATGTGTACAAACCAGATGGAATTGCAGTGTCACAATTGCAGTTGAATCCTACTGCCTTGATCTTTCACTAGATTTTTCAAAAACATCAAGTGTCTAAGACTATGCAACTACTAGATTGCAATGCCAATTTATCCTGTGAGTTAGAGATTTTAAGAAGAGTTTGTAAAATATTTATTATTTTTGAAGCTTGCAATTTTACTTGTTTCAAAATAATTATTAAGGTAAAGCATCCACAGGTTTCAGAGAAAAAGGAGTAATTATTTAATATTGTTTTACCACTGAAGAGACCTTAAAAACAGAGACTTTTTGTTCTAAAAATTTAATTGCAATAACAAAGTAAAATTCTTAGTTCTTTTACCATGTGTACATAGCTAAAATTTAAAAGGGCTTTTGTGAGTTTAAACAGATGTTCATCACGAAGACCTTGGAAGAGGTAATCACTGCCAAACTGGAAAAAACCCAGAAATATTCAACTATGCAAATGATCATAAAAAGACCAATGATCATAAAAAGACCACATAAACTATTTGTTCGTTCTTTTATGAAAGCCCAGTTATTAACATTTATTTTGGGATGAATCAGAGTGCACCTTCTGGCCTGCAAATTGGTTGTGCAGTTCTTCAAGGCTTCCAGTTTTATAAATGGCTTCAAATGTAGCAAGGTACTTGTATTAAAAAGTATGATTCAACTGGATTATTGCTGTGGAGGTGTACATAACTAAAATGAAAATGAGTTATTTTTTGAAAACATGGTTGACACGATTGCTGGCATTTCAATCTCACAGAGTACCTCAGCAGCAAAAGTGACTAATGTTAAACAGTGAAGGTTTCAGAGATGAAACTGATGTGGCCATATTGGAGGCATATTACAGGTAGGAAGTTGTAGTGTAGCCTGACAGATGAAGTTTTTCACTGGTAAACTAAAGCACAAGCATTGAAATCTTCTGAGGTAAGCTGTTATTAAAAAGTAAATTCTAAAATTAATGACTTTGATCCATTACTCAAGGCCCTTGAATATGACTAATGTTTGATGCATATTTTCTGTATGGCAATCTTACTAAAGCAAGACTTCTACTAAGCCATTCATTTAGATAATAAGAACAAGTTCCCTAATAAATTAAAATTCAACATTTTCAATTGTGCTAAATTTTGATCAAAGCAAATTGCAGCTCCAGGAAATACTTGCAAATACTTGAAATACTTGCTTAAATATCATCCTAACTTATTGAGTACAAACATTTGAGACATTGCTTCCTAATGGTGGGCAGTTAAGATACCTCTTGTCTTGCAATGCAAATGAAACTGGATTATGCCTACGTATTTAGTTTCTCATCTATACAGTTGTTTGAGGGTTCACATCCAAAATCTATGTTTGGCCACCAGTTGGTTTACTTTTCTGAAAAACTGAATCTGTTTGAATAAAATTTGAACTGAGCATGGCAGTAACGTAATTCAATTAATAATCGGAAATGGCTATTTTAAATGGCTATTCTAAATGCTATTTCTGGGGTGAAAAAAGTCAATAAATGCAAATTTAACTGCTGAGAAGTCACATTAAAACTGAATATTTCCTCAAAACATGAACAAAATTGAAATATATATAAGGGGTTTACAGATACTAAGTTTTAAAAAATAATAATTTTTGTAACATCTTTTACTTTTTTCTTCTATTATGTATGACAGATGGAGATACACATGACAATAAAAACAATTAAATACAACCATTTTCGGCTTGAATTGATACAGTCTCCTTGAAGTTACAGTAGCTAGATACATGAATAGACTTAAAGCTTACATTTAGATTTCACAGTAAATAATTTCTAAATTAACCCCTCCAAATTCATCATCTTTTCCTAGATATATGTATATGATAGTCTGAATTTGCATTTTTCTTAAAATGGTGTAAATTATTCTGTGTTCACCATAGTGGAGCACTGAACTAAAACTGTTCCTGTCTACATTCACAAGATGGAATTTTAATGGGATTATTTTCATATTTAATAAATGAAAAGATTATATTTTCACTTTGTTGTAGTAGATAACCCTAGAATTTGGAACACTCAGGCTTATGCTCTAATGAATAGTTAATACATTTCAAAGCAGAATTGTTGTTTCCTTGATGAAAAATGAATGAATCAATGAATAAAAGGTCTATCAAACAATAGTCAATAGCTTCATAACCAGGGGACTCACCTGGAATGTAAAAGAATGAGATATAAACTTGTATATTCCAAGTAAAAAATGAGAGAATGAGAAAATTTTTTCTCACTCCTGAAAACTCTACAGTTTCCAGAACTATAGAGTACTGCTGCCTACCCACAAAACCTAGCCAGGGATGTATACCCAATTTCATAGAACCATAGAATCATTAAGATTGGAAAAGACTTCCAAGATCATCGAGTCCAACCTTTGAATGATCACCACCTTATCAACTAAACCATAGCACTAAGTGCCACATCCAATTGTT